ATAATATAAAAATATTGACAGTTTTTCTTCAGAGACAAATTTTCAGTTGTATTTTTATAAAGTGTTGAAAAACACGAGTAATTTGGTCTTGCATTGCCTCTTAGAGTGTTCGTTCTGAGGTTTCATATGTATTTAATTAAAGGGGTACTCGGATTCACTGCTAAGCTTTTGCTTGTGCATTATTACAATAAAATTATGCCTTGTAAAGTTCACCTCAGATCTATCATGTTCCGTTTGAAGGGTGAAGAATACAAGTTGTTCTGGCCAGACCAACCAGAATTTGTGAGAATGGCTGCACGGTTTGGCGCCACAATAGTACCCTTTGGAACTGTGGGAGAGGATGACATCACAGAAGTAAGCTCTCTCTAGTGTCTATATCTGGATTAAAGTTTAGTAATTAGCTCTCCACTCTCTGCAAAGGTTGGGAATTTAAAACTTACAGAGCATTTTATTTCTACTTCTGGGGGTTTGTCACTATTTTACGTACCTGCACCCCTTTTGTTCCTTCTGCTTTACACCTTCTTCGGAGTTCAAGTTTAATCTTGCAACTATTTTCGGCTAATTTAGTTAATTACGTGCATGGTTGTATAAATTTGGCTGAATCATATACAGTTTTGATGCATCTTTCTTGTAAACTTTTGCATTTACTATTGCTGTCATTATTTTAAATTAAATGAGTCCTACAGCAAGTCTAAAAATGAAAATGAGCCTCCCCATTTATATGACGTACCTCAGCATTGCATTCTGATGATGATGTGATTTTTACTTTGAACGGGCAGTTGGTACTTGATAACAATGATCTGATGAAGATTCCATTGGTCAATGACTACATCAGAGAATCTAGTCGCAACGCTATACGAGTGAGGTAGCTCTCTACCCATGACCTTCAAAAGATGATGTGTATAGATTTTGTATGGATGGCCTTTGAAATTATAAAATCACTTACCACACTGAAATTCTTCCGACATTGACATGAATTATGTCCTGTTTTTTAGGGAGGATGAAGCACTTAATATTCCAGTGATTTTGCCAAGGATACCTGGCCGCTTTTACTATCTGTTTGGAAAGCCCATAGAGACAAGGGGGAGATATGAATCACTGAAGGATAGAGAAAACGCAAACGAGTTGTACTCGCAGGTAAAATCTGGAGTGGAAAGCTGCATCGCGTATTTGCTCAAGAAGCGAGAGGAGGACCCTTATCGAAATATATTTGATAGAACCGTACATAGAGCATTACATTCTCCTTTACAAGAAATTCCGGCATTTGATCCCTGATAATGGGTGGTGGTTGTCCAAATAGTTTTGGTCTTTTGTATTTCATTTAGAATGACATAAACATTTGTAAACATTCGTGTATATCTAATTTCCAGTTCTGTTCTTATTTGAGAGTAACGCCTGAGCCAAGTTGCTGACTATGATCTACTCATCTTTATAAATTCCACCGAAGAAATTTAAGTTCATTGGCCAGAAATTTAATTGCTCCTAACCTGTGGACCTCAGTTCCAAGCTTGAGAGATACATACGAATCTATGATAAATTTAGAGTGATCCACTCTTAAAGGCACAAGCATTAAAGCTCAGTTTCCAACTGCTGTCGCATCTCTTCTTCCATTCTTTCTGATTGGATAAACATCAGCATTCAGGTGAGAGAAGCATTAGGATTAATAAGAAGTCTTCTGTCTTTCCTTGTCGAAAGTGCGAACTGCTTAATTGTTCAAAGGTGAGTTATCCTACCTTATTAGATATTCTTCATTGGTGGATTAGGCACGACTATCCTGTCAAGGACTCCTGTTTTCATTAACAGGAAGTGTTTGGGGACCGTAATAAGCTGATGGACTTCTCCCTTTATCGAGTGCTAAAACAAGATTCCTCAATCTTATCTTTCGGTTAAAAAAATTCCAAGAATGGATGATAAAGAAGATTCCAAAAATTAGCATATGATACGATACTATTTCAATCAACATACTTGAATCTTATTGCATCTGCTCAATACTAGAAGAACTTCTAGAAAAGGAGAGGATAACATTCCTTCAAGGGAGAGAGTTCTAGTGGTTTTAGCTCAGGTAGGAAGCCTTCTAAGGCTCTAGCCTAACTTATGGCGGGTTATGATTACTACTATAGAATGTATAACCCCTATGATGGATTCAATCCACCGAAAACTGATAGGAGCCACAACTCCGAGCAGCTGTGCTGTCGAGCCTTCAATGATGCTGAGGAAAGAAGATTTATTGCTGGTGACCCTTGTGAAAACCTACGGACCTATGTCATGAAAATAGAAACAACCGTTGAACGCGTCCATCCGTACACATTCTCTGAATATCACAAGCAATGCTCGCTGCCGAGGTATGAGCACCCGAGTTATGGAGTAGTCAAGGACAAGCTGCATGGGCCTTTTATCCCGAGCAATGACCAGGTGCCTGTGGTCCGGGCTTCTTCAACAAGATCCAAGATGAAGCGAGCCAACCTTATGGGTTCAGTGCTCCACAGAACCCATACCAGCTCAGGATACCTGTCTCCACAGGTTATTATGGCATTACTGGCAACCATGGCGATAGTGACCATGAGAAGGAAAGGCACAAGCCTATTACCAATACCATTAAGGGGACGAAGAACCTGCTCGTGGTGACCTTAAAGCTGATAAAATTTTGAAACCACCGGTGACAACAGAAGCTGGTAATGGTGCTAGGCCTGTTCATCCAACAGGGTTGGCGCTACCGAGTCACCATACCTGGTCTAAGAGAGGGCGAACCATCCAACCGTCATCTGTGATCATGACCAGATGTTGGGAGAGGCATGGTCCTAATATGGGGCTCAGCCCACCGATGAACGACATAGGCACAGCCATGGGGTATTTGAAGAAAGCTGTCGATCCATCCTCTATCAATACCATTAAGGACGAAGTTCCCGATCGCGGTTACCTTAAAGGTGATAAAATCTTTGAAACCACCCGTGGCCACAGAAGGTGGTCTGTAGCTAGGCCTGGCCATTTAACAGGGTCTATGCTGCCGAATTATTATCTCATTCGAGAGAGAAGAGAGGACCATTCAACCGCCATCTATGACCATGACAGGAGGTTGGGAGAGGCGTGGTCATGATATGGGGATCGAATCAATGAATGAAACAGGCAAGACAAGGGAGTGCTCAAAGGAAGCTGTGAAGCCTACCTCAGTCAGTACAGTTCCCTAAAGAGACTCGATTCCCGAAACAATCAACAGCGAGGAAGCCAGAAGGCAATATGAGGATGGCAACCCCTCACCAGAGCTGTATGCGACTGGTTTCACCACCACTATCGACAGTCGGGAGGCTGCGAGGAGGTACTAGTGAAAGTTTGTTTGAAAGCGTGATTTGGATTGATCAGCTATCACCTTTGGCAAGTAAAGTAGCATATGCGTGCACTTGATAGTGTGCCTGCTCTATATAATTTGTGTTGCGATAAGCATCGTGGGAAGCAAAGCTCAGACAAGTGGTTTGCATAACTCTAGCTTGTTAGCAGAATATGTCGAAACGTGATAACCCAGGCTGTTTTAGTGTTGCCTCCTTGCCATTTCGTTGTGTTACAAGGAACCTCTAGTTTACTTGCGCAACAATTAGCTTCTTACTATTAATACAACTGACCAGATGAATTTGAAACTGTTTATCAATCTTCAAGAAAGTATGCAATAGCGTTCTCAATATTGTGAAAGAAGTGATCAACATTATGACAGATTGGTTCTATTAGGGAACAAACTGTTGCAAGTTTGGAGATGTTAAACGGCGAGTCTCATCCTCGAATTCATGCCACTGTAGAAAAGAGAGAACAAACCTGAGCATTGTTGAAACCGACTCCTTTGAGGAAATTGTAAAATCACCGAGATATTTCCGGCTCATGTCTGAGCTTGATCTCTTCACACAAGGAATGACTATGCTTAAACAAGTCCAAGGTCCGTTACTCATCGTAAATGCCTTCCATTTCCACCAGCAAAGTGACAAACTTATAGCAGTAATGCACCAGAAATATAATAGCAGAAATCCCAATTCAAAACTAATAATTTTCCTTCACAAAATGTAATGTCACTGATACTCGCCATTCGTTTGAGAAATTCTTTTTGGCTCCTATCTTTGTGCCGTAAATGCTATTCGTAATATGAAATCTTCTGGTTAGAAGTATATTTTTCGTATTAGGGGTACAGCGAACGTGAACATGGCTGAATAGTGCCAATGGAATCTTTTGGTTGGAACTTAGATACTTTTCATTATCGAATTCTATTTTCTTTCTCTTATCATTATCTCTTGATATTTTGAATTATATCTTTAGGAAAACAACACCTTAAAATGGGATCACGTGAATGAAACCCGAAATCAGAAAAACAATCTCTCCGGGAAAGCGACCCTTGCACTTCACATAAAGTAAGGGGTTAATACACGAAAAATCTCAAATTGGTATAACTCTGACAATTTTACCTCAAATTAATTTTTTGATCACAAAAAACTATAAACTTGTACACTTATGATAATTTTACCCAAAACTAATATTTTAATCACTAAAAATCCCAAAATGGTACATTTGTGACAAATTTATTTTTCGTTAGTTTCCGTTAAATTGGATTTATACCACAAAAAATCACAAATTGGACAAAACGGAGAGTAAAACATAAAATTGGCACATCAGACAATTGCCATGTGTCATTTAATAAAATAATTTGACAGTAAAATTTAACGAATATAAATTAAGGATAAATTTATCGTAAGTGCACCGGTTTGAAATTTTTCGTAGCATTAAGCATAAAGTAAATCAGTTTTGAACTTTTACTGTGCGACCGTGGAGGGCGAGGCAGACCCTTGTCTGTCGGCACCCTGGTACTGTGTGTGGCCAGAGCTTTATCGGCAAAAATGAGAAACGGTCGCCCCTCTCGTTTTTGCCTCTCCTCCACGACCACCCATTTTAGTTGCAAGTGCCAGCAAAGAACCAGACCCTGCTAACTTCCAAAAAGCGGGTTCCCTCTCAAAGTACTTTTCTCTGTCTGTCTTTTTTCAGTAGTAATTCGGTGACGCATTCTATTCCACATTAATTTCCACTCGCTATTTATTTGCTCCATCTCTTATCTACCGTATAACCACAAGATTTATAGAATTGCATCCTCTAGATAGTATTAAGATGCCATTTTGCTTCGAGGGTGCACCTCAAGTTTCAGTTTTCTTTTTCCCTTTCAGGTGCTTTCTCAGTTTCTCTGTTGTGTTTATTTTGAGCCAAGAACGGAATGGGTTCTTTGGTTTAGAGTGTTCCGAGGAACCTTCTGACTGAACTCCCCAAGGCCCTTCAGTGACTTAGTAGGAGCTCTTTTACAAGTGGAGTTCTTGGTGGAGTTCAAAATTTTCTAAGTTGCTGAGTTTGGAAAAGGGAAAAAAAGGGTGCAATCTTTGTATGACTGGTATGACATCATCGGTTACTTTCCGGGTGTCGCCTTATTTGGTGTTGAATTCGCAATTTAGGCCTCGGTGTAGAGTGCGAGCGAGGAGTTCAGGCGGTGGTGACTCAACAGTGTCATCATCTCCTGAATTGGTTGTGTCGAATGGAGCTTCTTCTGTCGAGGAGAGAGAGAAAATTGGTCCTTTGACTGGAGGAAATGGATATGCAGTTTCAAAGATTGAGGTAGTGGAGGAGAAGAAAATGGTGGAGAAAGAAGCAAAATGTTCCACTGCTTTGGAAGGCTTGGAGGTGTTGTGGGATGATGCGTATGGATCAAAGAGTGTGAAGGATTATCTTGACTACTCGAGGGATATGATTAGGCCTGACGGAGGTCCACCCCGTTGGTTTTGCCCTGTTGAGTGTGGACAGCCTTTGAATAGTTCTCCAGTTCTTTTGTTTTTGCCTGGTAATGCCTAGCTTCTCGCTTGAATTGGTGCAAAACTAGAAATGACTGGAATTCTGGTTTCAATGATATTCTTGTAGCTTTTAAGAAGTGATTATACAGTACTCGTGCATCAACTTATACCCATGTGCTATAGTATATAGGAGCCTAAATTTGTGATTCTTAAGAAAAATAATACTTGTATTGCCAAATTTTAATACATAAGTGCTGTTTCCTGCAGGACTTGATGGCACTGGATTGGGCCTCATCTTGCACCATAAAGCACTGGGAAGGTGAGTTTGTATGTCCCATCATTTTGGGGTTGTAAATTTCATTACAAGGGAAAGTAATGATGCACGAGAAGCCATGTTTTTGTTTCTGTGATTCTATTATGACCAAGCATTTTAATGCTGAAACCATAAAACTGCAGGGCTTTTGAAGTTCAATGCTTGCATATCCCTGTTTACGATCGGACTCCATTTGAAGGTATCTCCCTTTCAAATCCTTTTAATTGCTGTGCATGATGACAACAACTTATGGTGGAGTGGAATGCTTTTGAGCTGTGTCGTAAAAATACAAAGGGCAGTGGTGCATTCACGTCATTCTTCAGTTCTTCACATATTTTCCTTATCTGTGGCTTCAAGCTATATTCAATACTTGATCCATGCCGGTCCTTGTCAAACTTGTTATGTTATTGATGATCCACAGTTCTCAAAGTGGGTTTACAAGCCCTTTAAATGGTGAAAACTTTCTTCTAAATACTCAACAAATGTTACAAGAAATAAAATAGCGCACAATACTGAGTACTTGACAAAAGCCTTTGTAATCTATTGTATCTACACATTTTAGATCTGGTGAAATTCGTCGAGAAAACTGTTAAAGCTGAGTATGCCTCATCTCCACATAAGCCCATTTATCTTGTTGGTGATTCCTTTGGAGGATGCCTTGCACTTGCTGTGGCTGCTCGTAATCCTACCATTGACCTGGTAGTCTTATTAGCGAATCCAGGTGAGTATTCAAATGGGCAAGCAAGTCATAAATTGGGCATATTTTTCTGGATTACAAGCCTTCTTTGAGACTCTGAGGAAGTCTGTTGTTTTCTCCGTCATGTTAGCTACGTCATTTGGCCGTTCGCAGCTGCAGCCACTGTTACCTTTATTGGAAGCTATGCCCGACGGACTCCATTTCACGGTCCCTTATCTTCTAAGCTTTGTTATGGGTATGATATGCTACTTTCAATTCTCTAATCATAAAAATGATATGTCACATTGCTCTCAAACTTGTCCATAAGATTTGATTTTTCTTTCTAAGTCAGGTGACCCAGTGAAGATGGCAATGGTCAATATTGATAATATCCTTCTCCCAAGAGAGGCACTGAAACAACTGTCTGTCAACCTCACTTCTTTGCTGCCTCGCCTCTCAGTAAGTAGCGTTCTCTGCCGGGAAATTGCTTGTTCTCTTTTCTTATTAATCTTTATTGCTTAAAATTTTACAATATGTGTATAGCAGGCTTTCTACTAGGCTTGTATTCTAAACATTTTCTTGGTTTTCGTCCTTTGTTGGGCTCTTTCTTGATTATCTTGATACCCAATAAACAATTTCCTGTCTCAGGGTTTGGCTGATATAATACCCAAGGAAACTCTTCTTTGGAAACTGAAGTTGCTTAAATCAGCTGCCTCTTATGCAAATTCTCGTCTTTATGCTGTCAATGCTGAAGTGCTTCTCCTTGCCAGGTTTTCGCTCCAACTTTGTCAAGTTGATGACATGATTGTTAGATTGCGTCATAAATTACTTTCGATTAGGTTTCTGCTTTATTTGGTAGCTCCAATATCTGTGCAATTATTGCCAATTTCTTCTTTTCACTACTCTTGATGAGTCCTATACAAGGGTTTTGATGATATTGTCATTCTGACTTTTGCTCAACAGCTGGAAAAAATAAGCTGCCTAATTCTCAGCTTATAGATATGAACATACACTGTCTTGTAAATTACTTCTGGTTTATATAAGCAGGTATATGTCTTTTGGCAATATGTAGTGGCACATTTATTAGTTTGGCTTGATATTGCTTCATAGTATGGAAAGAGCCATTTCCTGTTTCTATGTGGATAGTTTTGAAGCTTCTATTAGCACATTAGTATATGCGACCATGCATGAGCATTGCAACATGCATGCATTTACACAAGCATGCATATAATTATAGATAAATGCATCATTCATGCACGCACATGGGGATGTGATTATGAATGGGGAGTTCTTTTTCTACTGGAATGACAACAGCGTGTCAGATTTGAGCATAGTTACAAAATGTTGCATTTTCTCAAAGTTTCTATTGATTCAGTGGCAAGGATAGCATGCTTCCTAGTCGAGATGAAGCCCAAAGGCTTATGAACTCATTGAAGAACTGCAGAGTTCGTTACTTCAAAGACAATGGACATACACTTCTATTGGTAGGTGAAACCCATGTTATTTTAATGTTGTAAAGCTTGAGGAGTAACTTGTTTTGAGAGACTTCAAGCTAAAAGAGCTTTTTGAGGGGGTAGCTCATTTTTAAAATATCGTTCAGCACTTATATTGGCATATCCTTATGATAGGCTTTGACAGTTCTTGGATAGTGAAAATTAACACTACAACTTGTTTGCTGAGATGGAAATCGCAGGTTTAATCAAGTTAAGTGCGTGTATTGCGCATCAGCTCCTCTTATTTAATCAACTAATCTCGAGTTTGGCATATGAGGAATAAACTTTTGGTAACAAAATTACTTACTATTTCTAGTGCTGCTCAAGATATTTTGAGACTTTGAGTCATCACAATGAACCGATTTGACTGCGACCCTTATAAGCCCAAAGGCATGCGATATTATCACCTTTTATTGATCTGCTTAGCAAATAGAATTGGAAAGCAGAACATTATTGTGTAATTCTAGTGGCTGATGACAGATCTTAAGCTTAGCTCCTTTGGAGATTTGGAACAGAGGAAAATTAAGTTTTCTGTTGATTTTTTGCAAAATATAAATGTGATCTTGCAATTTCATGAAATCAACGATCTCTCTCATGTATTATCTATTTATTCGGTTGAGGCAGTGCTTTCTTTGAATACATGTCATGATGAAACTGCATGGCTCTTCAAAATGTCACTCTCCCTGAAACTTATCATTGAGTTTCAGGAGATTTTATCTATACAAGACTGCTTTATTTTTCTATATTGTTCTGCCAGTATTTTGAACGGTAATTGGACTGAGATTGCAGGAAGATGGTATTAACTTGCTGACCGTCATCAAAGGTACCAACACATACCGTCGAACAAGGAGGCATGATTACGTCTTGGATTTTCTGCCTCCTAGTATGTCAGAATACAAAGTAGCATTCAATCAAGTTGTCGGGTAATTCTGCAAACAAATGCTTCTGCATGTCCTTTTTTGCTCTTTCCTGATTGGAATAGAATAAGTTGTTTCTAGATTGACCTCAACCAGATTTTTGTTAACGGCTCAATATCTTCCGTTCTTCCTGAATTTAAACTGATACTTTCCTATATCTTTTAAGTCTGTTTATGAAGATCTAAATTATTCAGCAAAGGTTTGAAGCTAGATAATAGGTTTGTCATGTTTTTCATAGCTGATTTTTGCTTCTTCACTTTCTCTTTCTTTTGCTACATCTCTTTCAAAATTGATCTGCAGCATTAGTGCATGATTTTATCACCAGCTGATGCCTGAAATCTCTGGGTGAAGCCATTCTCGTCCTGTGATTTGCAAAAGAAACACCAGTTGTTTCATACCTAAATTTCTTAATTTGAATGTCATTTGTTAATCGAAATATATGATCTAGTAATGCCAATTCTAATGCTATACACGGCCTCGTCAAGCCCAGCACAAACATGGATGGGTCATACTTTTCCACAAATGCTCATATTACATGCTGATCTGTTAATTGCAACCAGTCAATGTTAGTCTGATACCGTGCTTGGATAAATGCAGACTATTTCGCTATGCATCTAGTTCGGTATTATTCTCAACTTTAGATGATGGGAAGATAGTGAGAGGCCTCTCAGGGGTTCCTTCTGAAGGACCAGTGTTGTTAGTTGGTTATCACATGTTGATGGGACTTGAGCTTCATTCACTTGTTGAAGAATTCTTAAGAGAGAAAAACATTATTGTGCGGGGGATAGCGCATTTGGAGATGTTCTCTGGAAAAGTGGAAAATTTATCTACCGAATTTGGTCTAACTGATTGGATGAAAGTAATGGGAGCACTACCTGCAACGGGAAGCAATCTCTTCAAATTGTTTCAAACCAAATCTCATGTTCTACTTTATCCTGGCGGTACGCGTGAGGCTTTCCATTATAAGGTGTGTAAGTACCTTACTTTCAGTTCAATTAGTTCTCTTGTGCAGCGTAACTACGGTATGTGATCTTGTATTAACCCAATTGGTCTTATTAATAATGTAATCGTCAGAGAAATCTGGTGAAAGATAATTTTTCAATAGAATTTGCATGTGTTGAGGCTATAAGGTAATAAGAATTTTCCGCAGCATAAGTTTTATGAGTGAAGATGTAAAGCCATGTCGAGAAGGAGAATTCAAAATGGCGGCCAGGCAGTAGTTGAGGTAGCGATGTCAGATACTGCTGCCAATTAGCTCAGATGGTGGTGGTAGTGGTGGCAACCGCTGGTGGTGGCAGGGGTCCAGCCAATGGTGGTGAAGGGGGGTCGATAAGAAGCTAAATGAGTCTTAAGTGATAATCAATTTGCGTAGTGAAGCACACATTTTCTGTTAAGGGTGTTAAACCCAGATGAGGACTATTTCTTTTGAGAGACGCAAATTTTTCCTTAGTACATTGTATAAAGTATCTAAGAGCACAAGTAATTTGGTCTTGCCATTGCCTCTTAGACTGCTCGTTTCTATAGGTTTGATATGTATTATTAAAGAGTTACTTGTAATCACACCTACGCTTTTGCTTATGCGTCTTTTTAATAATATTATGCGTTTGTAAAGTTCACCTCAGTGCTATCATGTTCCTTTTGTAGGGTGAAGAATACAAGTTATTCTGGCCAGACCAACCAGAATTTGTGAGAATGGCTGCACGGTTTGGTGCCACAATAGTACCATTTGGAACTGTAGGAGAGGATGACATGACAGAAGTAAACTCTCTATATTTCTTTATAAAAGTTTGGTATTTAGCTCTTGACTCTCAGCAAAGGTTGGGAATTTAAAACTTACATAGCATTTTGTTTCTACTTCTCGGGTTTTGTCACTATTTTACACACCAGTCACCCCCTCTGTTCCTTCTGCTTTACACCTTCTTCGGAGTTCAAGTTTAATCTTGCAACTATTTTCAGCTAATTTAGTTAATTACCTGCATGGTTGTATAAATTTGGCTGAAACATATACAGTTTTGCTGTCTATTACTTTGAATTAAATGAATCATAAAGCAAGTCCAAAAATGAAAATGAGCCTCCCCATATATACGATGTACTTCCGCATTCCATTCTGACAATATGTGATTATTACTTTGAACGGGCAGTTGGTACTTGATTACAATGATCTGATGAATATTCCATTTGTCAATGACTACATCAAAGAATCTACTCGCAACGCTATACGAGTGAGGTAGCTCCCTACCCATGACCTTCAAAAGATTGTGTATATATTTTGTATGGATGGCCTTTGAAATTATAAAATCGCTTAGCATACTGTGAAATTCTCCTGACATTGACATAAATTATGTCCTGTTTCTTAGGGAGGATGAAAAACTTTCTATTCCAGTGGTTTTGCCAAGGATACCTGGCCGCTTGTACTATCTGTTTGGGAAGCCCATAGAGACAAGGGGGAGATATGAATCACTGAAGGACAGAGAAAATGCAAACGAGTTGTACTTGCAGGTAAAATCCGAAGTCGAAAGCTGCATCGCCTATTTGCTCAAGAAGCGAGAGGAGGACCCTTACCGAAGTATATTTGATAGAACCGTACAGAGGGCATTACATTCTCCTCTACACGAAATTCCGGCATTTGAGCCCTGATAAAGGGTGGTGGTTGTCCAAATTGTTTAGGCCTTATGTATATAACATTTAGAGTGAATGGCCTTTGTCTCGGCCAAACATAAACATTTGTAAATAGCATTCGTGTATATCTAATTTCTAGTTGTTGGAAAATGCAGTTTCTTCTTTTGTGGATATTTAGATACTTAGCGCACTTTGGAGTAACCTGAAGAAGACAATCCATATATTCTTAAAGAAACAAGTGGGAAAAATCTGAAAGCATTTTAGTTGGTGGGAATCGTATTCCTTGAAATCATGGAATTAGAATTTTCGACTTTTCTTCACATCTGGATAAAGGAAACTTTATCAGGCAAAGAAATGTGGGTTGGGTATATTAGCACCTCTGAAGCCAGGTATCTGCTTAAGCAATCTTATTCTGGCAGATTTCTTTCTCAGTCATTCAACTTTGTGCTACTTTCTATACTGTTTAACTCATTTTGAAAATTCTTTGTTAGGTTTTGTACATCGTGTCACAGTTAAGATCAATCCGCTACTCCTTGATGGGCAAAAAATCAACTATCAGCCGAAGCAGCAAGTCATGTGGTAAATACAGAATTTTACATAAGCTTTCCCTGTAGAACATTTCATGGATGGATGACTAAGACAATTTCTGAAAGTCCGATTTTTTTAGAGAAATTCCAAAGCTGACTTGTTGATTATAATCTTCTCATCTTCATATATTCCACCAAAGAAGTTGCAGTTTATTTGGCAGAAATTCAATTGTCCTAACATGTGCACCTCGATTCCAAGCTTGTGCGTTCCATATGAACCCATGATAGATTCAGAGTTATCCACTCTGAAAGGCACAGGCATTGAAGCTCGGGTTTGATCTGCTTTAGCAGACATTCTTCCCTTCTTTCTGGTCGGATAATTGTTAGAAATATGTCTTGAGTTTGAGCACGAAAATGAAACTTTCCTTATTTAAGTTGTTTAATTTAAGTGGTTCCTAGTTTGAGTAGATTTCCTAATTTGGGGTTGCCTATTTTGAATCTATTTCTTTTCTATATAAGAAGTGAGTCTTCTTCGTGAAGAGTATCTAAGAGGCTGCTCCTTATTGAATTACATGCTGAAGCAATTTGAGAGTCTTGAAATAAGATTTGTTAATTTCTCTGTGACAAGTGATTATTTTGTAAGAAATTGTGAGGGCTAATTAATGTATAAGTTGTTGGGTGTAATTGGGACCTGAGAAACGCTGAAAGTGTTTGAGTGACTTGACTATAGTTGTATTCTTCATTATATGACTTGATTTATTGTAAATTCATGCTACTCGCCTTGTGGGTTTAGTCACACCGACTGAATCACGTAAATTTAATATTCGGTTCATTTTCTTGTTTTGTTTATTTATAGTTCGATTGCTTATTTCCCCAACAATAATATCAGCATTCACAGTTGAGGATAGCTTTAGGATTGATAAAAAAAGTCTGTCTCAACTTGTCCAAAGTGCGGACTGCTGAATTGTTCAAAGGTGAGTTGTCTATTTACATTTTCTTATCTGGTAGATTTGGCAAGACTATCCGGTCAAGGATTCCTATTTTTCCCTAACTGGAAGTGTTTGATGACCATTAAAAGCTGATGGACTTCACCCTTTATGGAGTGCTCGAACAAGATTCCCAATCATCTTATCTTTCGGTGAAAGAATTCCAAGAACAGATGAGACAGAAGATTCGAAAAAAGTAGCATATGATACGATGCTTTTTCAATCCACACACTAGAATCTTATGCTTTTGCTGAATGCTAGGTGAACTATAAAATGAATGAATAACGTTGCTTGTAAGTGAGAGGGCTTTAGCAGTTTTATCCCAAGTAGGGAGTCAGTCTTACTCATGGCGGGTTATGGCAACCGTTGCAGAAGCAACAACCCCTATGATGGATTCGATCCATGGAAAGCCGAAAGGAGCCACGACTCCGAGCAGCTGCGCTGTTCAGCCCTTGATGAATCTGAGGGAAGAAGAATGATTGCTGTTGACCCTTATCAAAACCCAGGGACCTATGTCATGAAAACCGAAACAACTGTTGAAAGCGTCCATCCATCCATGTTCTCTGAATCCTACAGACAATGCTCTCCCCCGAGGTACAATCACCACCCGAGTTATGGAGTAGTCCACAAGCTGCACGGGCCTTCGATCCCGAGCAATGACCGGCCACCTGTGGTCGAGGAACTCTTGTTGCTGGCCGAGGAACTCTTCAACATCCAAAACGAAGTGAGCCGACCTTCTGGGTTCGGTGCTACACGGGCCCCATACCAGCTCAGGATCCCTGTCTCCTCATGTTATTATGGCACTACCGGCAGCGATGGGGATAGTGACCAAGAGAAGCAAAAGCACAAGCCTACTACCAAAACCATTAAGGACAAAGACCGTGAAGCTGATAAAATTCTGAAACCACCGGTGACAACAGAAGGTGATAATAGGCCTAGGCGAGGTCATCCAACAGGGTCCATGTTACCAAGTCACCATATCTCGCCTGAGAGAGAGCGAACCATCCAACCGCCATCTCTGATCATGACTGGACGTCGGGAGGGGCGTGGTCATGATATGGGGCTAGACCCGATGAATGAAATAGGCAAGACAATGGAGTACTCAAAGGAAGCTGCGAAGCCTTCGTTAGGCAGTGCAGTTCCCAAAAGAGATTCGATCCCCGAAACAATCGACAGCAAGGAAGCCAGAAGGCGATATGGGAATGTCAAATCCTCACCAGAGATGAATCCGACTGTTTACACCACTACTATCAACAGTCGGGAGGCTGCGAGGAAGTACGGGGGAGAGTTCGTGTGAAAGCAAGATTTGGATTGATCCCCTTTCCCCTTTAGCAAGTAACTTGCATATGCATGCACTTGATAAGGTGCTTACTCTAAATAAACTGTGTTGCAATAAGCATTGTGTTGAAGCAAAGCTCAGACAAGTAGTTTGCATAACTCTAGTTTGTGAGCAGAATATGTAAACCGTGATGGCCGAGGCTATTTTAGGACCCGTTCGGCAAGTTGCCAAACAGTGAAAATTTCTGTTCTTTTATTCCCAAAATCAGTTTTGGAACAGAAATCCGTTTAATAAACTTTTTGTTCCCGGACACAAATTTGCAAAAAATTGTTCCCAGAATTAGTTTTGGAATAGAATCAAGAAGTAAAAAAAAGTATCTTCTTGATTATGGGAACAAGAATCAGAATTGGAAAAGAATTTTTTTTTCCTTTTTCTTCTTTCCCGTTCTTGACGGTTCTTCTTCTTCTTTAGTTATTTTCGCCTGGCTGGCCACCAGCAACTGGCAACACAAGCGAGGGCCAGCAAGGGCGTCACGGCCCTCGCCAGCCACAGGCGAGGGCTAGACCCTCACGGCCTGGGTGAGGGTCGCCCTCGCCAACCTTTTCCAGCCCGAGCCAGCAAGGTCCGCCCTCAAGGCTCGCGGCCTAGGCGAGGGCGGCAACTAAAATCCAGCCCTCGCCCAGGCCACGAGCCTTGAGGGCGGCCCTCGCCGGCTCGGGCGAGGGCTGGAAAAGGCCGGCGAGGGCAACCCTCGCCCAAGCCGTGAGGGTCCAGCCCTCGCCAGATCCGGCGAGGGCCGCAACGCCCTTGCCGAACCTAGCCTATGGCTGGTCACTGGCTATGGCCAATGACCAGGCCATGGCCAAGAAGGAGGAGAAGAAAAAAATAAAAAATAAATAAAAAATAAAATATTTAAAAATATTATTAATAAAAAGAAATTTTGTGTCGTTACGAAACGCATTTCTGTTCTTTTTCTATTCCAGGAATAGAAATTTTGGGCCGTTACCAAACATCTTCAAACTCAGAATCAGTTCCGGGCACAGAATAAAAAAGAATCATTTTTTAATAGAATTAGTTTTCGAGCACAAAATCGTTACCATGCGTACCCTTAGTGTCCCTTCTAGCCATTTCGTTGAGTATTAGGAACCGCTAGGCAAAAAGTTATCATATTGGAATAATTAACTACTAACTAGTAATACAACTGACCAGATGAATTTGAAACTATGTAGCATTCTTCAAGAAAGTATGCAATAGCATTCTTAATATTGTGAAAGAAGCGATCAACATTGTGATAGATTGATTTCATTTGGAAACAGATTGTTGCAAGTTTCAATACGTTAAAATTCGAGTCTCATCTTTGAATTCATGCAACTGTGGAAGAACAAGAGAACAAATCTGAGCACTGTCGAAAGAACAAGAGAACAACTCTGAGCACTGTCGAAACCGAACCCTTAAAGGAAGATATAAAACGACCAAGATATTTCTGCCATTTGTTCTCAGAACTGACCAGAAAATGACAAACTTACGGCAACAACTGACCAGAAATGTGATAGAGGAAATTCCGATTCAACACTAATAACTCTTCTTCACAAAATCCTCCAGAATTTTGCATTTGTTGCAATAACTGCAGAATATCATAAAAAATGGACATTCATTTGGGATAAGTGGTGTCCAAAACTTAGTGTAATCTTCCGGTTCATGTCATTATATAAGAAGGAAGATGGAACAAATTGCGTACTGAAGGCTGTGTTTGTTTCAGGGAAAGTATTTTCCGGGAATCCGTTTTCCGGACTTTCACCCGTTTGATTCGTTGAAAATGATTAGTCAACCGAAAATACTTTCCGGTCAAGAAAAACATTAATGTATAAATTTAGGAAAGTAAACTCCCTAATCTAAGAAGGTGAAAACACTTTCCAGAATTGCTTCCCTTTACTCTTTTAATATTTTATTATTTTCTTTCTTTTCTTTTCTTTTCTTTCTTTTTTCTTTTTTTCTTTTTCTTTTTTATTTTAAAAAATAAAAATATTTAAAAATTCGATTTTTTTTTTGCATGAAATAAAATCATGGGATTGAAATCATTTTCCAAATGAGATTCAAACACCAGAAAATGTTTTCAATCATAAATCGTCAAACAAAGGAAAACTAACTATTTTCTTGGAAAATGATTTTTCAAAAAACATTTTCTAAAAACGTTACGTTTTCTGTTAAACAAATGCACCCGAAGTCTCTTTCTAATCACTGGGGTTTGCCCCAGTGGCCACCCTTTCTACTTCGGAAGAAGGAGGTGGGAAGTTCGATTCTCCAATTTCTTAGGGGAATTAGGGGTGGGGACGTTTGGTTTCAAATGTGAGTTTCGATTCCCACGTTCTTCAAAAAGGCAGAATAAAAGTTTGTGAGTAAATTAGGAGTGAGTAGGACAAACAAAAAAAAAAGGTCTCTTTCCTTCGTGATAATTATCAGTTGACTTTCAAAAAGAAAACTATACAATTAATTCAGATAATATACTTTATTGTCTCTACTTCTGGAGAGCATTAACTAGAGGGAAATCGGATACATCTTTAAATGTCTACATGAGTTGTTGGATACAATTCCGTTCAACATAATTTATTATGAGTGAGAATGGCAAAATCAGAACAGCTTGAGATAGTATATATAATCCATTTTGAAGTACATTACAAAAAGCAACTAGAAAACTCAACAAGAATGACAAAAGCACATCCAAATCTAGTGTGTTTCCTCATTTGCTCTTTCATTGCCACCAAACCCTTTGAAACCTATGGCTTCAGCATCAAATTCATCCCAATAGACCAATTCGACAAAACGCTTTCCTGATAATCTCACCTTGGAAAAAAGATAACAAAAAATCTACGAGATATCTAGAGCTCGTGTGCACCAACTTGAGTTATCCATGGCTTCTTCAAGTTCAATAGATCGGAAGGAGTCAACAAAACATGGCCCCAATGCGCTGAAACCTTCAGTCGCTAAGCATCTCACTGTTGGGTATTACATAACCACCATGATGGTTGGCACGCCATCATATTCTCTCAATTTGGTGGTCGATACTGGTAGCGATGATACATGGATACAATGCGAAGGATGCACTACTTGTTTCTCCTTAAGGCAAGGTAACTTCGACAGAAGTAAATCACTAGTTTATTAGCCCTTACCTTGTGGAGATCCTCTTTGTGTTCCTTACATATGTATAAATGATAGTTGTGCCTATGATACGAGTTATCTCGGAGCCGGAAGTTATAGCAAGGGACAAATTGGATCAGATACCTTTATCTTTCAAGATAGTAATAGAACTGTCAAAGAATTCCCAAAAGCCGTGTTCGGTTGCGGCCTAGACAACTACAACATGCCATGGCGCCGGCTTGGAGAAAATAACACTATATCTGGAGTATTAGGCTTGGGATTGGGAAAGAGGTCTATTTTTACACAATATGCCAATGAGACTAAAGGACGTGTCTCGTATTGCTTGCCCTCGTGGTACGCCCATCATGGTACCTATACGTTACTCAATTTTGGGGACGATGCGCGAATAAGCCGCCATCCTAGATCAGTTGTTCAGACGACAGCCCTTATTTCTAATGTGACCAGGTACATGGTTAACCTCACGGGCATCAGCATCGACGGAAAGAGCCTAAAAATAGGACCTGACGCTTTCCAACGTTTTTATATCGACTTGGGAAGTCCTCACAGTGTTCTTGTTCAGACTGCCTATAATGCCGTGAAAGGAAAAATAACCCAATATTTCAGTAAGAAGTATTTTTGGTGTCCTAAGACTCCTCAACCAGGCGATTTGGACCTATGCTATGAAGTGCCTCGTGGGAATTATACATATCCGACGATGACATATCATTTCGCAGGGGCCAATCGTTTCCTTGCTGCAGAAAATGTGTTCCATAAATCTTTGATGATGGATTTTGCTTGACGATCATGCCCATTCGTGACGGAGGAGTGAATCTGCTTGGAGAGTTTCAACAAGTGAATTACCGGTTCTTGTTCGACATTGGAGCATTGAGAGCTTCTTTTGTACAGGAAGTGTGTGAACTTACTTGAGAAGAAAAGGCAAACACAAATGTCTAGGAAAATGAAACCTTAAATTCGTGTATGCAGTTCTCTTTTGTATTAATAAGTGATTTGATAAAAAGAAACTTTCAGCAAGTTCGTGTCTTCATCAATGCCCTTGACTATGGCAATATATAGCTGAGCTCAGTAATGGGATTACAAAAAAAAGTCCTCAACATATTGTCTTTATGCCAATTTAGTCCAAAACCTTTCAATTGTATCAATTGAGTCCTCAATTTTTTCACGTTTTGCCAATTGAGTCCATCCAGTTAATTTTGATTGAAAATTGCTGACGTGGATGCTGGACGTCCTACGTGGCATGACCAGCTTAGAACGTCCAGCGGTAACGTAGACGATTTTTTATTTTATTTGTAATTAATATATTTCTTTTCTTTTCTTCGCTTTTGCTTCTTTTCTTCTTCTTTTTTCATAGTGGCCAACGAGGGTTGCCGGGCGCTCGTTGGCCGCCGAGCAAGGGCAGTGCAGCCCTAACCAGATACTGGCAAGTTCCACGACGCCCCTCGCTGACCACGGTAAAAAAAAATAAAGAATGAAAAGAAAACAAAGGAAAAATAAAAAAATATTAAAATATTTTTAAAAATTCTCCACGTCAATGTCGGCTGTGCCACATAAAACGGCGGGTGTCCATGTTAGCAATTTCTTGCCATAATTGACCAGATTGATTCAAATGGCAAAATTTGAAAATGTTTATGACTCAATTAGCATAATTGAAAAATTTATAACCAATTGGCCCAAAGACAATAGGTTTATGACTTTTTTGATAATTTTTCTACTCATCGGTTGATTAATTTTGAACTTGGAACTAATTATTATTCTTTACATGACTATATTACCCATCTATCTTTGATGGACTTTTATAAAGGATTAACCGTCGATAATTCGGAACAGGAGAGCCTAAAATTGACTCTTGCTTGCTTTTATTAGAATAAGTTACTATCTCTATAAAGCAATCACAAAACATCCTTTGTGCGAATTGCTCTTACAAATACACACATTCTTTTTCCTCTTGTCCATTTCTCTCAATCTCTCAAAATGAAGCTCTCTCAATGTGAAGCTTCTTCCCTACATCATTTGAGCTTATGGAGAAAACAACTCTAATGACAAATGACATATTCATAGACTTGTAAACCGCCCTCGCTTGACTAACGTTGTGGGGATCTGTC